TGTGCAACACAAGTTGACCAACCAGCACCTACACATACTACCCAATACGCTGTCAGACAGACCTGTACTCATTTATCTACTGACTAACACCAACACTAAACAAGGTAAACAGCAGGAGTGTTTACAGACATTTTCAACCCTGCCAAGGACAGGAGTATATTGAAACAAACATAGTTATGTATTATCATACATCATAAAGATAACGTGATGACCAGTACCAGTATCTACTGACACACTCAATCACTGGTCCAGACAAAGGGTTGAATGGTAGAGTAAAGGACAGCAAATGATGTGGAAACAATAAAACCAAATTATAACCAACATACCCAATTGTCCCTATTTCTACAACTTCCCTATTACCCTCTTGCACAAAAATACTAAATGAAATCCGCCCAGCTCTTATAACCCTAAAATTGATATATAACAAAAATAAGAAGGTAGCGAGATACAGCTTAGCACATAAACAAAACTGTTATATGATCACTCTTGAAGTGTATACAGAGTTACGGATAGGAATCAACAAATAGGAAAGTACTTAAATTCTATAATATACTCAAAGTATAAATTGGCTGAGAGGTTTTAAGCTTAGGTTTCAAAGGACATTATAGACAACACAGTGTATCACACAGACCTTTAGTACTACTGCTACGGATGTTTTACCTGATATCTAACATTTAAAACAATGATTCATTAATTTAGACTAAATCAGACCGTGTGTTATTTCACCTAAAAACATATTTGCTTTCAATACATGACCGAAACCCTGACCTCTAAGAACAAAAAATGGAATACCTCTGTGTTTTGAAAAATTGCAGTAAATAAAATATAATAATATGGACCCTATCTCGAACATATTTTTCAGAAGTGGAACGAAATGCGAAAATCATGTAGGTTATTATGGAAAATTAGACAAATATGCAGAGCAAGAAAAATAAACAAAATTACTATTGTATTTGTAAAGGACATTTCCTTTAAACGTGGCAAACAATAACAGGAGTGTTATTAAGTTAAATAAAGTATGTATCTCTGTTCTATTTTGCCTGTGCCAAGCATACTTTTTTAAATACAATCAATCAAAATGATCTATTTGATAATTCAAGAAAAAACAAATCACATAAGGAAGTATATTTCACGCAAACCTAGCATTTATATTGTGGGATATAAACCTTGTACACTTGCTTGAAGACTTGATATGCTTAACACCAAAACGGTAGACCTAGTAAATAACAAAACGGACGATTACAGTTTGTGATGCTGTTATTTATGTCTACGACTAATTATCGCAATTGTTTTAGTTATAAATTCTTTAATTTCCAGGAAATCAACAAATAGAACTTGTCCATTTTACCTTGTGATGCAAGAGTCAAGGCTGCTAACCATAGTATTGGTGCTGCGGAGAGATTTGGAGAAAAAAGTTACAAGAGATCAATAAGCCTCACAGACGAAACACGCAAAAACACCAGACAAGCACATAAAATATAGGAAAGTAAACCAAGGAATAATAATATGTCAAAAAAATAAAGATAAGAAATGGAGTAGCTATTGTAACGTTCAAAGCATATTGTAAGGTGGTAAATAATGTTTTCTGCTCCATCTTAACATTGTGGAATGTACATGGCATGCTACAAATATAAGACGAAATGATCAAAATCAACTTTAAGGTATAAATCGAAATTATGTAGCGTTAATATTTAGTATGTGTAGTCGTTCGGCATCAAACTGAGAGAAATGGAACTACATATGGGTCACAGTTTTTGTGCCTGGCAAAACATTATTTGAAAAACTCTAGATTACGTAATTTTCTAAATACAAATGTACATAGTTAGCAATGAAGAATCATCAGAATATTTGCATCACCTGTGATGCGGAAAGATCTGTCATCATAATTCATCCAAAAACCATTAACAGCTAAACATTTGTATGTGCAAATTTATACGGATTGGACTTCGTTATGAACATCACTATGACTGCCTTTCAGTTATTTTCCGTATATCTTACCAGTTTTCATTTTCGGTGCCAATCCTGTTCTCCTGGCTAAGATCGTTATTCTGCTTTATCTATGGCTGAATTTAAAAGTTTAGTCTACATTAGCCGACCCACTTGTGTACCGAAAATGCTCTCATGAAATGCACCAATATATGAACTCATGGAAATAAATCCTTTTCAACCTCTTAAATCTTTATAATGGAAAAAGTTAAAACCAATCACAACAAACCTAAATATGATTCGTAAATAAATAGATATATAAACCTAAGTGCCGAACATGATGAGTATATATACGACATCAAGTCTAACGAATGAATAACGTGATTTCCTCGCTATCTAAAGATCAATATAACCAAAATACATGCCGTGCGTTGTCTCTTATCATACAATACCTCCATATGCAACAAAATGACATGGCATTTACATTTTCTCTGTATTCTTACAATGGCTTTGTTAACTTAAACTTAGAGTCGTTTTGGATTCTGTCTTCCACAGCTTGCCACTATCGAATACTAATTTTCTTTGCAAAGGATGACATGTTATTTCAGGCATCCCTATTAGTCTTTGAAGTGGGAGAAAACCAAATAAATGCTCAATTTAATCATGACACTTTTCTTAACATTAAGGATAGAAATATAAATTCAATAGACGGAATAATACATCGACAATATACGCATTGACCTGAATTTGTGTTATTGATGTATATGGGTCAGTCATATTATCTTGTTTGGATAAGTCACGTTTTCTAAGATCTTCATTCCGTATCGTTGTAAGTAACACCAAAAACAAAGTCCTTCTTCGCGAATGATGCATGCTTTCTTGTAGCAAAATGCTTTCTTTTTACGTTTAGCCAAACGCTTTATGAGTTCTTATAGATAAATCCAATCTTTGGGGGGTTTTTGTAAAGAAAAAGTCCAGATTAAAATAATGTCAGTATTTTTTGTCTACATTTTGTATCGTCACGTGCATTATTCAAGCACGAAGGTCACATCAACCATGAATGATATTTTTAAAATATATGATTATATAACATATTTTGATTGTGATAACATTTGTAGAATTATGTCCTGCAATGATTATAATTTATTGGGCTTTGCTACATATCGCAAAACTTGCCTTTTTTATACTTGACTTTTGCACAAGGGAGTAGTCATTTTAGTTAGCTGTGTGCTTACATCGTGTACAATTTCCACAATTAAATATTAATAGCAATTTCAGCCACTTTTTCGTGCTCTTCATTAATTTCAGATCGCAGTTTATACCTTCATTAAAAAGTATCACTTTAAAAGCATAATATAAGATTGTTTTCTAGTACCATTTAGACCAGTCAGATTTAGATCAAATATATACCAGACAGAACAGACTGTGCTATCCCTGGATTCTGTAGTAGAATCTTGATAATAGTGGGCAGAAATAATAGTTTAATAGTTTAATACAAACAATACTATCATACAGGTTAGAGAAATTAAATTAATTTTATTTCTCTAACCTGTTTGATAGTATTGTTTGTATTAAACAGACACACACACACCTATATATATATATATATATATATACATATATATATATATATATATATATATATATATATATATATATATATATATATATATATATATATATATATATATATATATAGGTGTGTGTGTGTATGTGTGTGTGTGAAAGCTGCCGTGAAGAAGTCATGTAGATTTTCCTCTGTTGCGGAACCTGTTGTCCTGGATTATATTCGTGGTACGGGCGACAAGGTACTCTTAAGCAGATTATGCATTTGATACGGTATTCGCAATCCATGCTAGTATCCATTACAATTGCTTTTAATTAATTGTTTAACTCACTTCCATTCAGTGCACTTGACGGCCTCTAATATTAATTTTGCTTGTCTTTAAAATGTTTCGCTTTTGCTTAGGTTTATCACAGACATGTGTGCCAAAATAATGTCGGAATCCAGTATGTACATCAGTAAATGCCATGGACTCCTACAGAGTATAGGGAAGAAATAAAAGATCATGGTTGTCAATTAGTAAAACCTTTGGAACGTGAAGAGATTTATTATACTAACAATTATGAGCAAAGATTTGTCCTTTATTTATTACAAGTCACACACCTTCGATATAAACAACGTGGTTTGCTTTTGATCACAGCATTAGAACATTATAAATAGCAAAAGTTTTCATGTTTTCACCATATTTTATCAATATCAATAACATGGATTCGTATTATTCCAATCTGTAATCATGACACATGTCATGGTTGTGTTATTCATTGCCAATACCGCTTATACTTTAGTCGTGAATTTGCTAACGTTTGCGAGAAAACATTACGACTGCATGATACTACATAGGTATATGTTTCGGTGCGAAATCTTTTTCCAATCTCTGATGTTGTATCCATGGCGTTACTGGGACTCAACCAATTAGAAGTCAACATCCACATCCATATACATTCTGCCAGATATGGGTGCATCATATACAAATTATCAAATGTGATATTATTTGTCCTCTTATAAGCACGCACTATTCCGCCTAGAAGAGATGTAAATCACTTATAATAATGTTTGGAATGAAACAATGAAACTGGCGCTGAGAGAGAGAGAGAGAGAGAGAGAGAGAGAGAGAGAGAGAGAGAGAGAGAGAGAGAGAGAGAGAGAGAGAGAGAGAGAGTGTGTGTGTGTCTGTGAATATAAGGAATTTTACCATAAAACTGATAAATAGCATTTTATGTCATAGGTAAGGTCGGTAATAAATATATACGTTTATACTTCACTTCAAAAAATTAGAAATTATATGGTCAACCATGTTGCTTGGCTATTACGAGTTTTACTTTGTGCGCACACGCATACACAGGCATATATCCAAATTTTGTACATGTGTGCATATTAAGATTCAAATTCCGTCAACTGAAAACTATCAAAGTTGGTCAAAAAATTCCTGCGCACATGAGGCGGTTTATACCTAGCATCCTCCATCTTTGTGAAAGTACTGAATCTATACTTTATCCCATGCACCAGGACCGCTTCGGTGGACTAGTGGTTAGAGCGTCCGCCTCGGATGCGGGAGGTCGTGGGTTCGATACCCGGTCGAGTCATACCGAAGACTTACAAAAATGGTACTAACAGCTTCCTCGCTTGGCGCTCAGCATTAAGAGGTTATTGTTAGGACTGATCGGCCTGGTGTCAGGATAATGTGACTGGGTGGGACATCATGCTACATGTCTGCAGCATGATGTTCCAGTGCTAGAAATCACTATAAACTTCCACACTGCAGACATCGTAGCGATATGACTGAAAAATTGTTAAAGCTAAATTAAAAATCATAACCACATCACATCCCATACAACAGGACTATTATGATGTTCCCTAAGCCTTCTTTTCCGTACTCTACTAACTAATCCCGAGACGGATGTATTCGTGAACAGCCAATGATAATTGTTTGCCAGTTTAGACCGGGCCACAAGCAACTGTCAGAGGAGATGACTATAGGTTTCAAACGTACCTGTTTGCCGCCAATATTTTCTTCTGTTCTGTCATTCGAGCACTCTCTCCATCGAGTATTCCTGTCTTAATTATTCTGTATTCACTTATCTGCATGCATTAGGCGATGTTCGTAGTAATGTGAGATATATTACAATTTTTTTAGTACTGTGGTGATAATAAATGTTGCCAAGAGAACGCAAGATAATGTTGAGACTACCCGTGGTTCAGTACCATTGCTTTGAGTTATACAAGACACAATACAATATTTTGTAGCAAGTCTAATTCTTATACGTGATACTTAGTAAATATATCAACAATACATTTTCCAGCAAGCAATATGTTTTATTTTCTTTTGGAATATATTTTGGGTTTTTTTACATTTAACACGTCGTTTCCAGCTACAACATTAGATATAGATGTAAAACAATGGCAGAGAAATAAAAGATTTTATTCCTTTGCCGTTACGTAGAGCTTAGTGATAAATTACGAAAGTCTTATCACACACTGCTTAGTGTGATTCATAATCGTGTTGAATGGCAATGGAAAAAAGGATGAAATTTAAATCTTTGAATTTTTTATAAATTGCAATATCCGGAATGAATCACAGGAATAAGGTTGTCTGCCTTTATGCATGCACTATGTAGAGCTGTATATATTTCATGTAACTCGGACTGGCTGTGCCCGGTAGGACGTCGACTGAGAGTCCAAATGTAAGTTCGGTCTGGATCACATGACCCGTCTTGAGTAACCCTCCAGCAAGAATACACAACTGCATATCTAGAAATAGAGGACGACTGATGCAGTCAGGCAAATGTCTTAGGCTTCTAAATATACTTTATAACGGGGTCTTAGGAGCTCAAAATTTAAGAATTTTCAGCGGAAAGAAATTGTATAAATATCACAACCATTGTGTTAAAACAACAACTTGATTTTTAACTACTGTATCTAAATCATGACTTGGCAATCAAGCAACGTAATGCCTGAAAAAATGGTAAATAAAATATAATTCATGATTGTGTTTGATGCGTTATGAATAATGATTGCTTTTAATGTGTTATGATTCACGATTGTTCAGATGTAATTTGATTCATAATTATTTTGATGCGTTCAGAAGATTATTTTGTTAATATTTGTGACAATTGTATCAATTGCATATTATTAGCTCATTGCATCGCTAATAGCCTACTCTAATTTAACATACCTAATACTATCCTGTCATTCAGAAACATTACGACACTTCAAGATTCCCTGACTTTCACTTATTCTTGTAGAATAAAACTTATTTGTTTTCGTCTGCAATAAGAACAATTCGAATCAATTCTGAATTATCTAGTTGTCACAAAATACCTTAGGAAACACATTGATCATTTGATCAGAAAATAAAGAGTATTTGTTTAAGTCGACTTCCAATATGTCTGACAGCATGCAATTCCTGAAACATTAGTTGTTGTTTGTCATTTATAATTTGCATGTCTTTTCAGTTTTCATGTATTTCGCAAATATATATATATATATATATATATATATATATATATATATATATATATATATATATATGTGTGTGTGTGTGTATTTATGTAGGTGGGTGGGTGGGTTAGTGGGTTGGTGGGTGGGTGTGGGTTTGGGTGTTCAATTATAAAATGCTTGGTAGAATAGATGCGCACAAAACACGCCAATTGTTCGGATACGCATATAAAGATCATTGTAACTAAATCATTCCAGGTCTTATTGGAGGTGGGTTAATATTTTATTACAAATTATATTAAATTGCTTTTAATATAAAGTGTTTTGGAATATATATTCAACAAACATCAGTTATTGAATTTTGCATACAGATTGTATTAAGTAGGTCATAGTTAATAATGTAAGATATTCCTGCTTCAACTGTTATCATACAAACTAATGAATTTGTCATCCACACTAATCAGTTATAATGCACGCTGTATAGTTATCATTAGCACCAATCAATTTACCTGATTTATAGTAAACAATATTTTGTGAAACTATGTTCAGTATCTGCCAAGATAGTCATCATTGTGAAATCAAAAGTGTAGTCAACAAAAATGTTTCAAGGTTTGTATGCAAAAAATAGCTTTTCAAATATAATACATTTTCATCTCGTAAATACTGCGCAATGTTATGTTTAAGAGGGCAATACAGACAAAGGTCATTTGCACTACATCGTGAGGGGGGGTTAAATCTAAATGTCATTTTCATAGTTTTATTTTATCACATTGTCGCTACACTTTGTCTACAGTGAACATATCACTTTATGTGATACTGATTGGTCTAGATAAGCCTATGAAAGTTTTGTGCAGTATTTTCTTTACTATTGGCTGGGATCGTGGGAAAACATTTTTACCCCGCCTTCTGGAATGTTTTGATGTGAATGAACATTTTGGCAGCCATTTTTTTAACTTGACTCGCTAAGGAAATTGAGGAAATATTATATCGGCTGCCTGAATAGGAATATGTTACCCACACAAGGGTTTGTTATGTCATGTTTAACAATATCATTACAAGAAAATTGGCGTAAAACTACAAAATAAGAACAATAAAAAGTAAACTAACGATATTGCTTTTTTGATAGTTGGTGACGGGGAGTGGGGAACAGTATATATGTAACATAGATAAATAATCCACTGGAAGTATAAGCGTAGTCTAAATGTTAGCTTACAGAAGTAAATAAACTCACCTGTGTTGACAGAAGAATCTAGTTATAAATGGGTTTCCTAACTGAGAGAACTTTATCCAAACACATCATTTTACGCAGTATATATGAGATGCAAATCCGACTCGAATATATATTTGTTTACTTTTTCTGTACAAACTATTGTTCCGAATCAAAAGCTACAAATATCAGGCCACAAAAATATATCAGTATATGTAGGAATTTTTGCATCCAGTAATCCTATTTCACGTGAAAATCGAAACAATGTAGCATTTATTTCAGAAAGTGACATTTTAAGGTTAAACATGTACTCTAAGCTGACTGTACTGTGTACCGTACCAAACAATGTGGCAGCATCACATCGAATTGATTAGTCTTGAAAAAATAGTTTTGTCGTTACAAAATGTTCTTTCTATTCGAATGGAAGTTATTTCTTTGCTTGGTAGTTTGTAAAAACAAAGTACAACCTAATTTTGCTTGCTCAACTTTGTATGGAACTATATTTTAAGCACAAGAAATGAAAGGTGTACCGTCATTTAGAATGAACGAAATAATTTGTTCTTCTTTCTATCTAAATAATTTCCAATGAAATCAAAACTGTGTAATTAAAAGAATCTCAAATGGGTAAGGATTAATATTAAAAGTATGAAACTCTTTGAATAAAATCCGCATCTGCTCACCAAGGCTGCAAATGCTGGACATTATTCAACTCGTTTGATAAATTCAATATTAAATCAAACCCATTTGAGATTCTCTAGATATCAATTAAATTGTGAATCATAATCTTGCATTTTCTTGCGTATTACAACCCAAGATTAACGTACAGTAGTATAAGAATTAAACTACCATGATGGCTGATGATAACCAACACAATATCCATGCATTGAGAATCTGCCACTCTTGGAACTAAGTTCGGCTCCTAAATAAATACAGCAAGGAAAACCTTGTAATTGTGACAATTACTTTACTGACGAACAGTGCTGCAAGTCATGGGTATTTAACCAAACGAAGACCTGCAAAATTGGAGGATTGGACGGAAGCTAACACAGTCGGTAGATGTGCGACTCATAATATAAGAGTCGAGATTTCGATGCCCTCTCAGGACAGACTGTGTAGTCTGCTTCTTTGTGTTCATGGGAAAGGTACTTAGCTCCCTTTTCCTCAGGACAATAACGCTATAAATATTTAAGAGTGTTATTTAAACCATAAATCATGAAAAACATCGAGTCAAGCTCCATGTGAGATAGTTTGCATTAATTATTCTCCGTATTTGTGAAATATACAAAAGAAAACTCAAAATGCATGACACACGTCACTTTTTTAAATGACTAAAATTTTGGTGGGGGAGGGACATTCTAACTAATAATTTTAAGTATACCTTCAGTTTACCTTCACAATTGTTTCGCCAAAGAACTGTCACGAAACACATTCTTTCAAATGATATAGATATTCAGACGAGTTCTATAAGAAAATGCTACTTCTTCACCAAAATGTAAAACGCTTCATTGATTGTGCACCCCTCCTACCGGGTAAAAGTTTTTTTCTAAGCAGCTTTTAAGAATGAGCGTGTAAATAGTGTTTCAGCAGATGCGTGTTAATAACTCCACAATATTATGTTTCTTATCCTCTACCTCCTACGTTCTCAAAATTAAACGTTTTCGCTTATCAAATCCTAATCAATAAATAGAAGTATACATATATACAATATGCGTAATGCTAACACAATTACTAAGGCAAAGACCCTTATCAGGGACATATCTGCATTGCTGCAGTCTTGAACTTTATCAAAAAGTGTGAATGTTCGTTTTTCTGAACCCATTATATAAAATGAAGTATGCGTAAGGATATATATTTGTGTGTGTGTGTTTATGTGTGTGTGTGTGTGTATATATATATATATATATATATATATATATATATATATATATATATATATATATA